AGAAAACGCACTTTGATAAATCATACTTCCTAGGGGCACTTTCTTGCTATGGAGCTCTCTTTCCAAAACTTCAGAAGTTTTGCCAAGATCAATTAACCTTTCTACGTGTATTCTTTTTGAGGCAACTCGTCTATCTTTAGGGGCCTAATTACTGTGCCTGGGTCAACTTGTAACTGTCCCTTTTACATGGAAGGTGTGTTGACATGGGCAACCCTTCACTTCAAACGAAGCCCTGAATCCTCAGGAAAATTATGCCCACCTTGCCGACTTTGACATTCAGGTACACAACAATACTGAGGCATGTTTATTAAGGCCAGTGCCACAGTCCAACGTATGTTATTTCCAAAATGGCGACTGTGGAAGGACTGAATTCACACTAGCGACACCTGGCGCCAAGCGGGCTGGTATACCCCATTAAAGGTTATACCATCTTTGCTAAAAACAAAAGAGATTCTTGGGTTTCTCTAAAGAGAACTAGGAAGCACATATACCAATAGGTACTATCATGTATTAGAAAAGGGAATGAGTAGGCCTAATAAACACGTCTATTTGCGCAACTACTGCATTTGAAAGATGGAGAGCATATAATGTGGAGAGCATATAATGCTTCCAGCGCCTTGCCTCCACTTCATTCTTTTGAATAAACGTTGTTTAAAAAAAATTTGAAAGATTCTATTTAAAAGAACGTCGATCAGCACCTACCAGACATATTAAGTACACATATTAAAAAATAAATAAATAAATAAACAAACGCACCTCGTGTGTTTTATTGGGTGTAACGAGTATAAATCATGAGACAAACAGGAAAAAAAACAAAAAACAAAACAAAAAAAAAAAAACGAACACCTAAACAATAGGCCTACCTTAAATTGAAGGTCTATACATGCATGTGGCTTCCCAAAACAGTTTTGCATTAAACAAACAAACAAACAAACAAAATATTAACAATATTAAATAAATACATAAATATGTAAAATTAAATTAAATTAAGTTAAATATAATTAAATAGAAAATAAAAATAAAATAAAAATATAAAATAAAACACAATAAAACAGTTCATCAAAATTTGATTTTAGATGGGACATCTCTAATACCAAATAGACCTTAATATATGCGAAAGAGAGGGCTGGCAGAGCTGCTAGCTGTCCTTTATAGTTCCAGTTAATTTCACCTGCTTTGAATTTGTTTACTTGTACCATAATATTTACCTGCATACCTGATCCCAGCCTAGTTATGTTAACAGCACGCTGGCTTGGGACGTAAACTGTGTACACACTTATGGGGAACGGCTATAGCTCACCAGATAGTCTTGGAGCTGTAGGAGATCTGAGAGAGAGAGAGAGAGAGATCGAGAGAGAGAGAGAGAATTTCCTGGAAAAACGGGTGAAGGGATAGAGAATAAAAGAATGAAGAAGGTTAAGGAATTTAGCATTCTATTTTCAAATTCGCATGCCGGATTTCCACACCCCCTAAAGGGAAATTGGCTGCAGTAGCTCGGAGTCCGGACCAAAAACAGCGAAAGACGCCCCACACTGACACAAAAATACTATATCTATCTACCTTGTCATCAGCATGTGTGTGTGTGTGTGTGTGTGTGTGTGTGTGTGTGTGTGTGCGCGCGTGTGTATGGGTGTTTGTGTTTATGTGTTCGGGGCCATTTGTTGCATTTTTCTTTTTCGTAATAACGAACTTTCTAATTCAGTTTCTCTAAAAGGATTCAACATGTCGCTGAGAAACGAAAATTTACAAAATATGAAGACTGAAGACAAAAAAGACCAAAAAGACCGTAATACATGTATAGTAGTACGTNAATAATTACCAACTTTATAACTTGATTAAAATGGAAGAAATGATCCAAATCAAGTGAAGGGTGCACTTTTCCAAAAAGGTTTATTTTCGTCAAATAAAAATACAGCATTCAGTTTTTAACTTAATTTAAATGGAAGATATGATACAATATAAAGCACTTACGTGTGTGAAGGTTGCATTTTTCCCATAAAGGGAAAAATTATTTTTTTGTCAAATAAAACAAAAGCATTTCAGAAATATTAGTTGTTTTTGAATAAATTACTCTTTCAAATGTTACTGCCTCCCCCCCTCCCTTCCAAACTGATAATCACCTCCCATTTCAGACCTAGTGTGTTAGGTGAGACAGCACAGCCAGCACAATCCTCACCCAGAGACATCACTGCCACCTGTCTGCTTACAACATAATAAAAAGTTCTCTAAGCCTGTCTAACTGCTAATTATTTAAAGATAAACATTCGCATTGAAATCTAAGTCATTTTATATCAGGAGGGTCAATTTCAAGTGCAGGTTAACTTGATTTTCCTGAGAATTTTAAGTAGCTACCAGCTGAAGTCGAGTAAAAACTGGATCACATAACATACAGATTTAACGGCCATTTGGATTCCTTAATGTGAAATCAAGTCAAGACATTCTAGCTAAGTACATTTATTCAACCGTTTGTGTTAGCCACTTGTGGAAGCATCTCACTTCAATGTTCCTTTCAATGTTAAATGGCCTAATATTGACAATACCATTCAATGTAATGTGACCAATACCTTCAATATTTTCTTTAAAATCCCTATACTAAATCCTTATTAACTATGACGGCAACGGTTTTAGATAATAAAACTCCTCTCATCTTCAGTAGTTTGTAAAAACTTTAAACATGATTTTGCCAATGGTCCGACCCAAGAGAACTGCGGAATCCTATTGGATTTTGACTGGAGTTCGGGATTTGTTTACCATTGTAATACCATTAGACCAACAGAGCTGTGTACACACTTCATGAGACTGTTTGCTCTCTCACTCAGCACTCACCATCAATGAGATAATATTGATGATGTTTTCCTTCCAGAAATCAATGTAAGGACACAGCAAACCCGATCTGAGGTATAGCTTTTATCTACAGCATCGGCAGATAATGAGAAATAACTGACAGACCGTGACAAAGAAACCAATTGTAAAAACAGCATGTTCAATTAAAGGATACTCTGATAATCTAATTGGCATATGGGGTTCTGGTATTAGAATGTTACAGATATGCTGGAGCACACATGCACATATATATGAGAAACTATATTATGTAAACATACAAATCTACACAGTTCACCTATAAATAAAATATACACGTCCTCACAGTAGTCATATGTGTTTACTTATAGCATCACCAATGTTTTGCCTCCTCACAGCTGTTAGCAGTGGGCAGCACAGGAGAGAAAATCAATGTTCCTGCTCACCAACATTCTGTATTAACATGTATCATCTGTCAGTAATATAACGTCTGACCACAGTGTGTGTGTGTGTGTGTGTGTGTGTGTGTGTGTGTGTGTGTGTGTGTGTGTGTGTGTAAGCGTACATGTGCTTAAATGTATATGTGCAAACACCACAACAGGTGTGTGTGTGTGTGTGTGCGCGCGCATGCATGTTTGCACATATGCATACACGTGCTTAAATGTGTATGTGCAAACACCTCTGTACCCAATCTCTGAGAAAGAAAACCCTATCACTAATTCACAAGAGAATTCACATTCCCTTCAAAATGTCATAACCCCAGTCAACACTATCTATTTCTATTCCTCCATAATAAGGTACTGACCAGGAATGCTGCTTCCCATCTGTATCAGTACTAAAACTGGGGATGCCCTCCACTCACCCTGTCTGGACCTGCTGGACATTGCTCCACGAAAATATCTTAAGTTACTTAGACTCTACTGGCTAAGTTGTGTTTCATTCTTAAAGACTGTTTACCTGGTTTCAAATTAAAAAATTTAGCAGCTAATCTCAAGTTTTAGCCCCCCACTGATGAGCTTTTTTTCAATAACTAGTAAGTAAATAAGTGCATAATAAACTAAATTTTATAAAGAACTTCTGCAAGAGATTCTGTCATAATCTCACAGCGTGTTAAAAATTTTCTTTAAAATTTTACTTAAAAATATGTAACAACACACTATTGGTAACACTTGTTAAAGTCACATTTCTAGACAAGCTGATATTTTCTCATTACTTTGTTCGTGAATCAAACTGTATCAAAATACTTTATTTTTAAGTTGAAAACATAATTCATTGAGGTTTTCTGTGATTCCTTTATTAATAAATGTTCATTCTTGGTCAAAAAATGCCAGGAGCTGACATGTCCTGAAAGATTTTCTACCTCTTTAATTTTAAAAGAGTCCAGCAAGCGAGTGCAGACTACTATAGAAAACAAAACTAAAATTTACGATCCTTTGTTGACTATTTTTTTCCAGTAGTAGGCTACAGCTTAGTAGGCCTTTTTAAGACAAGTAGCTGAATTGAAGAATCTAAATATGTTAGATTTTTTGTGAAAGGGGGGGGGGGGGGTCTGGTAGCTGTGTAGTACAGCCTGAGTACAGACTTGCCCACCACAGTTCCTATAATAAAAATCAATAGCACACAATGGGCAGCAATGGCTCTCTGCCACCATGTACAGGAGAACTGGTGTGTTTGTTGTTTTATGGCAAGAAACATTATTGGATCTTTTGGCTCAGTTAATGTAGCCGAAGTTGTTTGGACAGGCAGTTAGCCAGTAAGCCAATGTCAGACATTGACAATTTATTTAACAGAACAGGATTTATCATAATCATCATATATATATGATATATAAAATTGGTTGTAGATAAATGCATGTAGCATAAGGGACCATTCCCAGACCCTATTGTACTAACTGGGAATCGATCTATCTCCGAGGGGATTCTTACCAAATTGCAATCAACTTAAGCAGCTTAGATGTCTGTCATGCTGAAGCTGCTCAGCGTAATTAGTTATCGTTTAGCAGCTTCAGTAGGCTTGCCAGACATGTTAGCTACTTAAGCTGAAAGCAATTTAGCAAGAAACCCTTTGGAGATGGATTGATCCTGTTAGATCGATTGAGGTATGGGAGCCCAGCCTAAGTCTAAACATCCCAAATTAGTGCCAAATCCATCCCATCTCTATCCCACGCTCATCCCACCTCTATCCCACCCTCATTTACTCACCGGTAGCTGAAATATCTGCTCAGAGTCATCTAACATGAGAACTTTGATGTTCATCATCTTCCCGCCCTTCTGAGGGCTGGCATTCCCAGTGCTCATTGTGGAGGCTTACTTAGGATGCGGTTTGTCTTGCCATAACACTGACATCTTGTGGCTAAAAAAATAGAAAAATATCATTACAATTAATGACAAATACTGATGGTCCGTTGATGTGATTAATTTCTAGGCTCACATTTAATCACTTCTCATTGTTGAGTCAATTCTTTATTCTGTATCAAAATGGGACCAAAAGGATATTCATACTGGATCCATACACAGTCAAACACATGTGGTCTGCCAAATTGACAATTTCTAATCAAACCATGGAACTAAACAAGTAGAAAGCAGAAAGAACTAGAACCAAAAGATCAGTTACTGTAGCAGCCAAATCACTTTCAAGCTACTGGTATTGGAATGCCAGTAAAATACTATATAAAAGAATTGGGGGGAAAGATACTTTAAGTTCTTGGACAATGCCAATAAGTATAGACACTTGTGGTTTTTAGAAAAGATTGGCCAGAATTCTGGAAAATATGGTAGCAACTGCTTTGTCAATTAGAACGGCATTGNAAGCGTACATGTGCTTAAATGTATATGTGCAAACACCACAACAGTTGTGTGTGTGTCTATGTATGTGTGTGTTTGCACGTATGTGTACATGTGCTTAAATGTGTACGTGCAAACACCACTGTACCCAATCTCTGATTAAAAAAAAACCCTATCTCTAATTCACAAGAGAATTCACATTCCCTGCAAAATGTCATAACCCCAGTCAACACTATCTATTTCTATTCCTCCATATTAAGATACTGACCAGGAATGCTGCTTCCCATCTGTATCAGTACTAAAACTGTGGATGCCCTCCACTCACCCTGTCTGGATCTGCTGGACATTGCTCCACAAAAATATCTTAAGTTACTTAGACTCTACTGGCCAAGTTGTGTTTCATTCTTAAAGACTGTTTACCTGGTTTTAAATTAAAAAATTTAGCAGCTAATCTCAAGTTTTAGCCCCCCACTGATGAGCTTTTTTTTAAATAACTAGTAAGTAAATAAGTGCATAATAAACAAAATTTTATAAAGAACTTCTGCAAGAGATTCTGTCATAATCTCACAGCGTGTTAAAAAATTTCTTTAAAATTTTACTTAAAAATATGTAACAACACAATATTGGTAACACTTGTTAAAGTCACATTTCTAGACAAGCGGATATTTTCTCATTACTTTGTTCGTGAATCAAACTGTATCAAAATACTTTATTTTTAAGTTGAAAACATAATTCATTGAGGTTTTCTGTGATTCCTTTATTAATAAATGTTCATTCTTGGTCAAAAAATGCCAGGAGCTGATATGTCCTGCAAGATTTTCTACCTCTTAATTTTGAAGAGCCAAGCAAGAGAGTGAGTGCAGACTACTATAGAAAACAAAACTAAATTTTACGATCCTTTAGTGACTATTTTTTTCCATTAGTAGGCTACAGCCTAGTGGGCCTTGTTAAGACAAGTAGCTGAAATAAGAATCTAAAGATGTCAGATTTTTAGTCAAATATGGGGGAGGGGGGGGGGTCTGGTAGCTGTGTAGTACAGCCTGAGTACAGACTTGCCCACCACAGTTCCTATAATAAAAATCAATAGCACACAATGGGCAGCAATGGCTCTCTGCCACCATCTACAGGAGAAACTGCTGTGTTTGTTGTTTTATGGCAAGAAACATTATTGGATCTTTTGGCTCAGTTAATGTAGCAGAAGTTGTTTGGACAGGCAGTCAGCCAGTAAGCCAATGTCAGACATTGACAATTTATTTAACAGAACAGGATTTATCATAATCATCATATATATGATATATAAAATTGGTTGTAGATAAATGCATGTAGCATAAGGGACCATTCCCAGACCCTATTGTACTAACTGGGAATCTATCTATCTCCGAGGGGATTCTTGCTAAATTGCAATCAACTTAAGCAGCTTAGATGTCTGTCATGCTTACTGAAGCTGCTTGGCTTAATTAGTTATCGTTTAGCAGCTTCAGTAGACATGCCAGACATGTAAGCCACTTAAGCTGAAAGCAATTTAGCAAGAAACCCTTTGGAGATGGATTGATCCTGTTAGATCGATTGAGGTATGGGAGCCCAGCCTAAGTCTAAACATCCCAAATTAGTGCCAAATCCATCCCATCTCTATCCCACGCTCATCCCACCTCTATCCCACCTTCATTTACTCACCGGTAGCTGAAATATCTGCTCAGAGTCATCTAACATGAGAACTTTGATGTTCATCATCTTCCCGCCCTTCTGCGGGCTGGCATTCCCAGTGCTCATTGTGGAGGCTTACTTAGGATGCGGTTTGTCTTGCCATAACACTGACATCTTGTGGCTAAAAAAACAGAAAAATATCATTACAATTAATGACAAATACTGATGGTCCGTTGATGTGATTGATTTCTAGGCTCACATTTAATCACTCCTCATTGTTGAGTCTATTCTTTATTCTGTATCAAAATGGGGCCAAAATGTAATTCATACTGGATCCATACACAGTCAAATGCATGTTGTCTGCCAAACTGGACACTTCTAACCATGGAACTAGAAAAGTAGAAAGAGGAAAGAACTAGAACCTAAAGATCAGTTACTGTAGCAGCCAAATCACTTTCAAGCTACTGGTATTGGAATGCCAGTAAAATACTATGTAAAGAAATTGGGGGGAAAAGAAACTTTAAGTTCTTGGACAATGCCAATAATTATAGACACTTGTGGTTTTTTAGAAAAGATTGGCCAGAATTCTGGAAAACATGGTAGCAACTGCCTTGTCAATTAGAACGGCAATGGCTGCTGAGCTGAAAAACTCATGTAAACCAGGCGAGTTTGAAACTTTACAGCACGGTACCTCATACCACTAGTCAGTGCAAACTGTTTGGTTTCTTTCAGTGGAAAAAAAATTTAGCCAGTTAGATGTTTCAAATGTACTCCTTCCCACAAAACCTGTAAAGAAAACAGGCCATGCTCCCACTGCAACAGCCAATTCCACTATTCCCTGATTTGTTGACAAGGTGACCCTTCTATGGTCACCATTTCCTGGGCCATAACACAGGTGACCCTTCTATGGTCACCATTTCCTGAGGCCATAACACAGGTGACCCTTCTATGGTCACCATTTCTTGATGTGTTGACAAGCTACCCCCCCCCCCAATGTAGGCAGGCTATAACACAGGTGACCCTTTTGTGGCCATGGCCATTCCCTTATACAGTAACCCCCTCCCCGACCCCCCCCCCTAGACACAGGTCATACACAGGTGACCCTTCGGTGGTCACCATTTCCTAATGTGTTGACAAGCCCCCCCCCCTCCACCTCTGCAGAAATAGGCCATAACACAGGTGACCCTTCTGTGGATAGCAAACCTGTCTGTTTGGGAAGGATACCTTTTACCTCAAGTACATGATATCAAGTGAAATGCCAGTGTTTTTCTGATGCAGATTAGTGCCAAGTAAAGGTTTCAACAGTTTAAACTTGAGAGTGGACATCAAATGTCACTGGGCACCTAACGGAATGCCTTGATAATCAGAATAATGGTAACAGTATTCTAAAATCTTCCATCTCAGTTCTTTAATCTACGCAATACGCTCGCGATAATCTCAGGCACATGTGGAAATGTGCAGAAAGGGCAAATGAGGGGAATTGTGGTTCTCAGTGAATAATGGGATGCTCACAGCCAGTATTTTAACCGTCAGACCATGAAACTGCCATTAAATCATCATCACAAACAGACATTCGGTTTTAGCTAGAACATGCGAATACACAGAACTTGCCAATTTAATAGTACATAAAATAGACATCAAAAACATACATGTATATAGAGAACAAGTTCTGGCAATATGGACATGTGCATTCCTGTTCAAATATGTGAATATTTCCATGTGAGCGTTAACAACTCCATAGGAGAAGTTAACACTTTCATGTAAGAAATTAACACCTCCATGTGTGAGCGCATTCAGAGCAAGACGATCCGCAGGCTAACAAATCTTTACTCTATGGTGTAATCAGCAGGCCCTTGCATGGACTTCATATGTAAAGGCGGGGAATCCATCAGGGAATTAGTGGGTATTACTTTTAAGTGCATCGGCCATATTTGATCAGCAGATCTGTTAGTCCATGGATCATCTTGTTCTGAATGTGCTCTAAGAAGTTAAAAGTTCCACTGCCCTTACACCACATTCCTGCCAGACTTACAGCCTGCTACTTGCTGTGTACAAGAACGCATGGCAACCTCTGAGAGATATTTACATCCAGATCAGCTCACACTTCACCTGGAGAAGCCGGCCAAGAGGTCGGTTTACACCCCTGACAAACACAGGCTATGCTACAGCCCATGCTTAACAGGTCCAACCAATATTTCTACAGGTGCACCAGCCTAAGCTTCACAGCATCTATCAACGCCTTTAAAAATGCACCTCCTTCCATTATTTTGGTCGTAAATTGATCTATTTATCTGGCCACCTAGTTCATAAAAATCTGCTAAATGAGGTATTACTAAATGAGCATTGAATAATCATCACGTTTACTCCCACTTATGGATGTATAGCTGCGCATGCAAATTGCATACTTATTCAAATGTGATTGCTAATGGATATTTTAAGCAAGAGGAAAAAATTCATTCATATATCATTTTTCAGGAAATGTGAAACAATACCCTAGGTTGTACTATCTGAAACCATACGGTGGCATTTAGTTGGATTTTATGGCAAAAACATGACTTTAAATGCATCTTTTTAAGATGAGAATTACATGAAAATTCCCATAAACTTGTTAATTATGAAATAGCCTATAAATTAAAACCATCTCCCCAGTGGGACAGCCTCTTAATTACCAGTGCCTGGAATAAGTGATGAATTCCCTTGAATAATAACCAATTAATACTGACTGCAGTCACTACTCAGCACGCAATCAAAGGTGAATACAGACCGAGCAGATTTTCAGCCAGCACCAAAAGACCGAGCTTTTGCATCAAAATAAAGGTAGCAATGCTCACTGTACCCAAGCTGGTTAATGAGCATAATGATTCCATGAGGACATCTTCAACTTTGATGTTAATCCAAAACATTCCGGACCTGTACTACAACTGCACCATTGACATAACCAGGCCCTAAGCACCTTCAGTCCATCTACTCCCTGTGTGAACACACCAACAGCCTCTGAATGGAATCTCGTTTTCTACTCCAGAGACTGTGCACTGCTTCTATATCACCAAGAAACACAAGCAGCTGTCAGTAAAGTGAGCGGTTCTCAGAGCTGATTTCACACACACTGAGACCAGATGGTGCACTTGACTCTGGCTGAATTATTCAACATTGGTTTATTCTGTGTAAACCATGGCATTCTATCAGGTTGATGCTGTTTAATATGAAATGAACCTGGAGTCTTATAGTACACATATCTTGGTACACACATTGGTTTATTCTGTGTTTAATGTCTGGAAGTGTTTTTATGAGGTACCAACATGAAAGTAACTACAGACTGCTAGACTTCAACAGTGTAACGGCAACTCTACAATATTGGCCTTCGAAATCTCACAGATGAATGGCTCTCAAAACACGTCGTTGGCAAACTGAAACTAGCTTTTGTCACCACAATGATTACACATCTTTGTGATGAATCATACTTTGCTCTCGCGACTTTGTTCAAACAGAAAAAAAAACACTTTACATTTTCTGTGTTGTGCAACTGGGGTTTCAATTAAGTAGTGCATATCATGTGTTACGTAATGTAAGCCTAGGTAATATATATAACAACAGGTAATGTACAGACAGTTTACTGTTTGTAGAAAAGAAGCTGCTGTGACTGATTAAGTGTCCACAGACAGTTGGAACATAACAGCTTTGGCTCAACCATCACCCAGCAATGAACTTTTGGACATTCAAGTCTCATTATATGGGAAGCTATTTAGTGATAATAATTTGTTAAAATACATCACTCCAATCAGATTCTTTCCAGAATTATGGGCATGAAATGACATGTCTTCTTACCAATTCTCTTACCTCAGCAAGTCAACAGCTATTCTGGCCCCCCTCTACATGCCCCCCCCCCCCCCCCCAAAAGCAAAATTCCTTGTCCCTGCTGGCAGCCAACATGGTTTTCCTCTCCCTCAGTAATGATCAACTCCTGTTCCAATCCATTAGATAAGAATTGATTTTTTCTCGTTCATCACGGCCTCAGGAAATATATCACGTCTGCCACAATACAACATCCACACTGGATTCCATAGGTCCTAATTGATTTTAAGGATAAAATTCCCCCACATCCGCCATCTTTCCCTCGAGCTGTTCAAGTTTAATGCACAACATCTCCAAGGCCACCTCTGTCTTCATTCCTTTCACAGAAAACATTGCCAGTTCTGAACATGTACAGACAGTTGAAGGTATCATATCAAAAGAATGAAGCATGGCAAAATGTATACATGACATAATTTCCCACTCTACTGCAAGCCCCCCCCCCCCTCCTCATCCTTACTGACCTCCTATGAAGTCAGTTCATCCAGCTGACCTGCTGGTACAGGTGGAATAGATAGCGTGGCCATCTGTAGAAACACTTACCTTTCTAAGAACTATGGTCCACTCTATCTAGGCAGAGGCCAATGACCTCTAGGATTGAGTTTTTGTCTCTCTCACTAATTCTCTGGACTGGAAAATAGAACAAATGACAAGTTTACATTTCAGTAAAATGCTATAATTCTCATCAGTTCCACTTTCTTTCCTAGTGGTATTCCTGCAATTTACAATTTTTGGACAGAATATTATCTACAGCAATAAAGAAATTTTCTATAATTCTCATCATTTCCATTTTCTTTTTTTGTGGTATTATTGCAATTTAAAACTTTTTTTTGCAGAATATTATCTACAGCAACAAAGAAAGTCCCACACAGAAGCAGGCATGCGTACACACACACACACACACACACACACCACTCACTCCCTACAACACACACTTCCATGCCCCTACATGCTGACCCCCTCTCTCCCAACACACACACACACTCACACACACACACACACACACACACACACACACACACACACACACACACACACAGCTTGCACCTACTGCCACAGCTCCTGCAACCCCCCCTCCAACTTATCAGATAACCTCCAGAGGTGTCTCAGGCTAATTACACATGATGATAAGATTACAGGTCAACTGTGATTAATAAAACTGATTACAGGTCACTTATGGCTTATTACACATGATAAGATGTCCAATAAACTGGGTTTAACATGACATGTAAGGGTCACTGAGGAAAGAAAAAGGGAGAGTTTCCCCTCACACTAGAGTAGAAAACACTGGCAATATCTTCCAGACTCCATTACTTCCCTTCACATACTTTACATGCCACAGCACATGAAAGAAGGTCAAAGTGATCCATTGACCCACTGACCAAGGAGCAGCCATTAACTGGACACACCTGTGCAGTGTGCTGGTCACTGTGTTAACTGGACACACCTGTGCCATGTACTGGTCACTGTATTAAACTGTATGACCTTTAAATGGTGTTTGGCAAAATGTCTCCACACACACAAACACACGCACATACATACACACACACACAAACACACGCACATACATACACACACACACAAACACACGCACATACATACACACACACACAAACACACGCACATACATACACACACACACAAACACACGCACATACATACACACACTATCCCTTTCCTCATAAATCTTCAACCCATCTATATCAGTCTACATGACACCCAGTCCACATTCACCTGCAGCTGGAAATCCTAATGCCACCCCCCCCCCCCCCTATTAGCAGGTGTCATACATTAACAAGGACACTCACATCCCAAGTCCACTATCTGAACACACACCACTAACTACCCCCCCCCCCTTTCACCTAACACACCCTGTGCTAGACATATACTAAAGGAGTCCAGTAACTCAAACACACAACTCTAGCATATGACTCCAGTGTGAAAACAGAGGAGTTCGGGGTCACCTGGTTAGCTGGCTTCTATTAAGACTGGCATTCCACACATTCTACTCTTATTGACTCTACAACAATGAGGAAAGTGGTAGAAAATAAGAGTCAAGTTCTAAATGCTTGTTAAGTTATAACAGTTACTTGACGCATGGTACCAGCCTAGGGTAAGGAGTCAATTGTGAGGCAATCAGTAGGAAATATGGTTTATGGTGGGAATGCATCTTGGCAACTGATTGGGAAATGTTTCACTAGAAGATGGAGAGGTGTCTGCAAGGAGACAATTCCTGATATGAGCCAGTAATATCATATGTACAGTAATGAGCAATTATTACTATAAACCTCAGCCATATCTGATGTGCCTCAGATGAATGACTACAGTATTCATAAAAAACAGATTATTGATCCTTACGTAAATTTATTCCATCACTGATAACATAAAAATTGTTGACTGAGATTATACAGTGATGTGTATTCTCATTTGTATCAGTTACATAAGAACAGCAGTTTGAGTTAAGAGAGAAAATGAGTTGTCACTTCCACCACAGATGAAAAATAAACTGTTATCTTGGTTTAACACACTTCCTGCTGACAGCAGCTTTCTAAAGACATTGCTCTGGTGAGAAATATAGATATAAGATAGACTCACTCTATTCCTTATATTAACTTAAATGGCAGTAAGCAAAAGATTTTGTAATTGCCCCTAAGCTAGCACCCCACCCCTGCTGTCACCCTGTCCCTCAGCTGTTCCTGTTGTCACCCCACCCCTGCTGTCACCCTGCCCCTGCTGTCACCCTTTCCCTCAGCTTTCCCTGCTGTCACCCTCCCCCTCAGTTTTCCCCAATGTCATGCCCACCCCTAAGCTTTCACTCTAGCCCACAACAGAAATAGGTAGTAACTAACTACTAGTAGTTCATTTTCTAGTTCACAGCCAATCTCACCCACACATTTAACAGAAGTGACCTCAGGCCACCCTTAAAGGTACATACGAACCGAGCATCGGTGGAGCGTGGATTCCCAGTAACACATGTAAACCACTTCTACTAGTTTCTTATACGACTCTAATAAATTCGACATGCCAAGGGATAAACTGAATAAATCACCCGATCAGCCATAAAAGAGCTTTAGAGTGCTCCTTTCTTTAAATTTTTGGTTGTCAATTTAACCTACTTTCATGACCAACTTTTCTGCCCCATTGACATACAGCATAGAATGCTAGCAGAAAAAATCTGTTCAAACATCACTTTCGGGTAAAATTAAACAATGCCTTTTGGTAATTCTCTTAGTTATACTGCTTGAAACTATATGCTGGCATTTGGTTGGTTTTTATGACAAAAAATNTTTTAATTTTTGGTTGTCAATTTAACCTACTTTCGTGACCTACTTTCCTGCCCCATTGACATACAGCTTAGAATGCCAGCAGAAAAATCCGTTCAAACATCATTTTTGGGTAAAATTATACAATGCCTTTTGGTAATTCTCTTAGTTATACTACTTGAAACTATATGCTGGCATTTGGTTGGTTTCTGTGACAAAAAATTGACTTTGTATGCATCTTTAAGTTAGACCTCCAGATTTCAGGTGCCACACTGACCAGTGTAACCTCCAGACCACCTCTCAATGTCCACTACCACACTACACCTGTAAGGCCCCTATTTCACACAGACCACGAATCCCACGAATCGCCAGGAATTGACAAATTTCACGATTCGTGAGAATTCGTGAGATTTTGCCAATTTTTTGGTCTAATTCGACACGCTCTATGATTCAGTTACGATACAGGTGCGATAGTGTTACGAATATTCGTGGGATTCGGTTGGAATCGCACGAATATTGTCCAGAAATTCACTATGATTTTTGGGAATCGGGAGTTCGTGGCCAAAACTTTGAACAGCTCAAAATTTTTGCCACAAATTCCCGATTGATTAAGAATTGCAAGAACTGACTACGTTTATATACGAATCTGTTAAGAACTTTACGAACTGATTACGATTCAACCACGAATCCCGAAATTTTCAATTCCTGGCGGTTCGTGGGATTCGTGGTCTGTGTGAAATAGGGGCATCAAAGTTTTTGCCACCAACTCCTGTTGGTCAAGAAGTGCAAGAACTGACTACGAATATATACGTATCTGTTAAGAACTTCACGAACTGATTACGATTCAACCACGAATCCTGAAATATTTCAATTCATGGCGATTGGTGGGATTCGTGCTCTGTGTGAAATAGGGACATAACAAGTACCTTTCGAGATCCTCACACTGAGAGATCATGGGCCCCAGCCACTCATTCATCACTCTGCATTCTTCATGTCACAGAGATGATGAAGCTGGGATACAGTTTCCATGGACTCCCAGCTGCAATGAGATCCTAAAACCATTCATACAAAGCTAACTTACTATGGAACACTGAACTTGAACTGCAACTTACACTCTTCCCATAGAAATGAGACAGTAAGTGTCCTGTTCAGGAAGACCTGTGAAGATCCACGCCCTGTATCAGACTACCTGTTTAATGCATATGGTTAGTCAGTGTAGACCATTGATCTAAATCAGAAATGGAAGATCTCTATTCCACCATCAGAAGGTTGCTGAAGGACCTCTGGACTTAAGTTGACAGACGACACAAGTAAGACCAATTTCTGGTCTTTGGCAATCCTGTCTGAACGCAGAGATATAAGACAGCTCTTCCTGTAACCTATACCCACAGTTAACTGCTATTTAATGATGTATAGAGACAGCAACACAGGTAAACGCAGCCAGTGATTTCTACAGTTCCTACTTCAGCAGGTAGAAATGGAACACCCTAGATATCAACTGCTACACAAACAGAGTGTAATTCAACATGTGTGTGACTGACGCTCATAAAATAAACCCCATTTCTCTCCATTCCATTCTCAATACATTTAAAAAAGCTGGCTCCACAACAGTTTTAAAAAAATCGGTCATAACTTGCGGAAACAGGTATTTTATTTTATTTTAATTATTTCCTCTCTGACATCTGTAGTTTTACTTACAGAGAAAACCCAAACTTAGATCCATCACCCAAATGTGTGTATATAATTCAAAGATGAAATAAAGCTGCCGATTAACCTTAATACATTTTATTTCCTCTAAGAGTGGTTTGGTACAGCAATAAGAAAGCAGTGCGTCTGTCTCCTCCAGTCTACGTGACCTTATTACTATTCTACACACACTGGGACTGAGAACTGGTCCATAGCCCTATATATCCTGACAGCTCTTTGAGACAGAGAATTATGTGAAGTTCATATCCTATATGACACTAAATATATCTCTGTAAAACCATCAACTAGTACATCACCTCTTTGGTTTCAAAGTCTGTCCTAAACAATGAGTCAAGGATGCCTCCCATTTTAAGTACTGTTAAGCACCCAGGAACCATGAATCTATCATATATAACCATGTCTGTTTCCTTTACACTGGACGGTGTCCTTTCTGCATCCCTAGCACGGCCCTGTTTGAGAGTAAAAAATAATAATAATACAGTTACTTTAACATGTTGACATCTAGTCTATCATTGAGCATTCATTCTGCAACCAAAGCGATGCTTGTGCCTCCTTTCTACAACCACAGCAATGCCAGTTTCAGGGTGGCACAAAGGACACAGAATGGACGCCGTCCAGTGTAAAGGGGTTTTTAGAATGAGTTCCTGTTTCAGGCACCTTTTCCCACAGTCGTTTTGTGCTTTGTGTGTTAATTAACTCATCAAATTTAACGTCATGTGTTACATGAGCTGCTAACAAACCTCACCTGACTTGATGAAAAGTGATTATAAAAACTTATTCAAACTCAGTTCCCCCAGGAATCTCCCACAACTTGTGTTTATGACCAGATCAGATGGAGTGAAATACTGAAGTCCTGCTGCCCCTTACCCAGCATTGATTTCATTCACTGACAGAGGCAAAGGAATAAGGAGCAGAAAGCGTCTTCCACAAAAAGGTGTCTGCACGTCTTCAAACTCCTTATAAGAACCTGTTCATAAACTCTCCTCATGCATATGTCATTTGCCAGGAACATGTATTCTTAATAATATATTTATAATAATATTTAAGAAGCTGATGGTTAAAAGCAGGCTCATGAAATTGTGCCACCTCCCCCTATCCCTGCTCCACCTATTCACCCCCTTCCTAAAATCACAACTACCACCAGAATAATTGTTAAAAGTTCTCAAAAGCAGAACTTTTCCAGAGTAGCAGCTAAGTTAATATTAATAATCTTTAAAGCCTTTCTCAACCTTGATTCTCACGACACAGTGCCTGCCACAGAGTTCTTTATCTATGTGACCCTGTCCTGCTCCTCTCTCTGAAGTAATCAATTGCAGTAATGACTCAGTCCGTACCTCACTTATCTGTCTGCAGATGACAGCTTCTCACACAGGAACTATTACTACTCCTTTCCCCTGACAATGTCAGAATCGATGTCATCATATTGTACTGCTGCTAATGAGCCTACCGCCTACAGTCAATACTGACATATCTAACACAATGCCGTGTATCAAGCACATTGTGCCCTCTGATATGCTCCTCTATATCTACAATAATAAGGTAACTGAGCTCTATAATTCTTATAAACTAAGAGTTCTGATGTAGTTACGGACAAAGTTTCCTTCTACCTTCCCCCTCCAACAGTCACAGACAGACAATCTCAACTAACACAATACACAGTCACAACTAACACAATTGCGTTTAGACGTTAATAATGAATGCTAAAAAGCATACAAATCACTGGTGAGAAAGCACTCCAGTCTAGCCTAGAACTTCAAAATGTGGCAACAGTTTTATCTGGCCTAAGTATGGTCACTAATACTATTGATTTACAGCACTGATCAATACTACTTCTAGCTGCACAGTAACAGACCACTTTAGGAGAGTGGATTTAGCTGGCTCAGCGTGGAGTGGTCTATTCTTACACAGGACACAGTACTGTCTAGCATTTACTCCTACCCCCCCCCCTCCCTGCCCTCCCCCTGAGTTCATACATCTGGTTTATAATTCCTTACGGTACATCATATGCACTGGATTACCAGTTCCACCAGCATTTGTCTGTATTTTAAGATATGCTAAAAAATTCTTAATTCCAGTCAACAAATACTTAACACTTCCCAGTGCTCTCCTTTAGCTAATCTGGCTTATGTTTCACTGGTATGTAAATAAAGGGGATTTCTGGCCTCAAACCATGAGTTTTAATGTGCCTCAAAAATGTTGCCAATGGAATGTATATACAACTGCCCAGTGAACATAAAAAGGTGTAATTACTGGATTCATCCTCACGCCTTAAACTGGGATGCTTTCTAATTAAGCTACTATCACAGTTATTNAGAAAGTATAGAAAACTATTATAAAGCCAAAAAAAAAGGGCATGTATACGAGATTATATTAGGAGATGCTCTACAATGGCATATTTACAGTGTGGATATGTCTAAAAATCTTTCCTAGTCTTGTAAGTTGAATTTGACTGACTGCAACTGCTGGATACATGTTTTGATATAGATATACTTAACTCAAATGGCGTTATCACCTTTGTTATATTTCAAGTCACATACCATCATTCTCTGATATAACTGAAGAATCATCAACACATGCTATTGTGGTTTAATGGTCATGCATACACTTCCTGTGACAGCACTTATAATTGATCTTTTATGAATAATTATAACAACAGGTTTGTGGTGGAGCTCACTAATCTGACCTGTGACTCTGTGATTTGAGATATAAGAGAGATTTGAGGCAGCTTTTGAGGAAAATGTTCATTGTCTAGAATTTGGTGATGCACTTACCAGATATGCACAGGTTAGAGGTGACATTCAAGGTGTATCCTGCAGCACACTCACAGTAGAAACTTCCATTTGTGTTGACACAAATCTGGTCACAGTTGTCTGACCTCTCAGTACATTCATCAACATCTGAAGTGAAGTAAAAAAAAAAACCATTACATATATTAGACCCTCACTCTGTAGTAGTCATATTGAGGGACTGTTAGCCTTCACCCATAACATATATAAGGCATGTGTCACACTGTAGTAGTTATCTTGAAGGACTGTTAGCCTTCACTCATAACATATATTAGACACGTGTCTCACTGTAGTCATCTTGAAGGACTGTTAGCCTTCACTCATTACATATATTAGACACGTGTCACACTGTAGTAGTCATCTTGAAGGACTGTTAGCCTTCACTCATTACATATATTAGACACATGTCACACTGTAGTAGTCATCTTGAAGGACTGTTAGCCTTCACCCATTACATATATTAGACGTGTCACACTGTAGTAGTCAGCTTGAAGGACTGTTAGCCTTCACCACTATGGTTCAGGCATGATAAGGAGCTAGGTGATCTCCATCTCTCTATCTCACAACTTTGATAAGTTTGTAGATGGATTCAGGTTGAGATAAGAACTTGAGACCACTAACATCTCCTCATAGCTCAGAGTTCACAGATGGTTCTCCTTTGACATGTCTGATAGACTGTCCTATAAATCCTGCAGAATCTTTAGTAGAATTCATTTGCAGTCAAATAGAATGTTATACAGAGTCCAACTGAAGTCCAATTGGACTCCAACAGGAAATTTTTCTATGTGATCTTTTCAGTCACTGCTAGATTTCATGGATGTCCACAGTCACAGTATATTGAGGGTAGGAATACTCCCCCCCCCCCTCCCACTAACCACCAAGATGAAAATGGCTCAATCACCAAGATATATTATTCAGGCTAATCACCCAGAATTCCTAGATCACGTTTCATGCAGAATATAGGGCTTAAATAATGCATCATGCTTGAAAAAAAAGGCCAATCACGCAGAATGCAAAAGGTATTCCCTACCCTCTATATTGAAGGTCTTGGAAACTTCATCACTAATTAAATTCACAACTGAAGAGACAGCAAAAAAAAAGATATATACATGTCAACTTACCATAACAGCGTGATCCATTGCTTCTATATCCATCATAGCAGGTGCATGTGTAGCTGCCCTCTGTGTTTTCACACAACTGTTCACAGTTATTGGTCACATTGGAGCCCGTAGCACACTCATCAATATCTGGAAATAGTCAGTCATAGAGCATCTTTAACTGTGCAGGTTTAGCTGATCATGAGCCCTTCATGTAGATAATTACTTGAACTCTTAGAGAAAAAATGTTCTGTTTTTAAGCATGCACAGCCATGTTTGATTTTTGAACCCAGTTTGTTGTGGATATTTGACCTCACCAGCATGGATAATTTTATAACAAGTTTGGTTTAAATAGTCATATATCTCAGTACGTTTTAATTGCTGTACCGTGTGCATAATTAAACCGCTGTGATACAAAAATTTTTTTCTCAAGGGACTTTATGTAAAGCAGTACTACAAAGTATTTAACATTAAGCATTTCAAATAATTTACAATTGGTGACACATGTAATTGTCATACCCCCCTTATAAACAGAAAAAAGCTGGTTAGGCACACCTCTTGTACTGCCACTAGTATGTCCACTTCATTTCCTGGTGCTATGTCCACTTACAAACACACTTCCTGGTGTCATGTCCACTTACACACACACACTTCCTGGTGTCATGTCCACTTACCCACACACTTCCTGGTGTCATGTCCACTTACCCACACACTTCCTGGTGTCATGTCCACTTACCCACACACTTCCTGGTGTCATGTCCACTTACCCACACACTTCCTGGTGTCATGTCCACTTACCCACACACTTCCTGGTGTCATGTCCACTTACCCACACACTTCCTGGTGTCATGTCCACTTACCCACACACTTCCTGGTGTCATGTCCAC